AACTCGCGCCTGGGTTCGAGGAACCCAGGCGTTGGTGCTGGGTTCCTTCGAACCCAGTAGGGAGGGGAAAGAGAAAAGGAAAGAGAAGGAGAGACAAAAAAGGAAAGGAAAGAAAAAAGAAAAAAAAGGGAATTTTTATATATTAAATTATATTTTTGGTGCCAAGTCACAATAATTTTATAATTAAAAATGCCACTTCATTTGTTTTATTTCCAGGTAACATTTAATATTAACAAAATTTGAATTTGTTAATGGAAAATTTTGCCATGTCAGCACTTAACTGACAGAAGGACAACATTGGTTCCAAAAATTGAAGTTCAAGGATTTTTTTAGTACTTTTTGAAGTTCGAGGGTAGTTTTAGTTCAAAAATGAAAGTTGAGGGACTAAATCGGGGTTTTAACCATCAGGCTTTGTAACTCATCCCATAAAATTCTTTTTCCCATCAACTAGCACGGGGAATAAATGTTTAGAATATACACCGGTATCCTCTCATCCCCCCATAAACCAGATACTCCAATGAAGTTATTCCCCTCAATTACCTTCAATTTCTTAAGCACCTTAGCATTCCATATGCATAATAGACCTCCGGACCTGCCCACAAATGGTTTATCTACCCAATCAAAGTCATCTGTCCCCCATATTATTCTACAAATCTTCCTGTCCACTGTCACTAATTTGGTCTCCTGAATTGCTATGAAATCTACTTTCTCCTTCATCACAATTTCTCTAATCTGTCTTTTCTTGCCAACCCCTCCCATCCCTCTAATATTATAAAACAATAGAATCATAGGGGTTCTGTGTTTACCTTCTTAGCTCCCCCGGTGTCTAGATTGGCCATGTCCCCTTTCTTACGGTTGTCTCTCTTCTCCATTTCCTTAATTTTTTGCAAGACTTCGACATCATTTTCTGCATTTGCGCCAAGTTGTTTCGCAAGGTCCCATATCTCCTTTGCTAGCTGGCTTTGCATATGTTTGTTAATGGATCTATTGCAATTCAGTATTCCACTGTCACCAACCGAGCCACCTACTACTTTCCCATCCGGAATCGACAGAAATTCTAGTGCTTTTCTTTCCGCTGTCCTCTGCATGCTCTGTTTTTTTCCATCGTTCTTTCTTATTGAGCCCCTCCCATCCTCCTCTGTACACCAGTACACCAAACTGCATGATCTAGCCTTCCTTCTTTTACTCTTCGATGATTCCCTTATCTGCTTGCTGATCCACTCCTCCACCCACCCTCTGTCTATTTCGTATCCTCTCCAGAACACCTCATCCCCATCTTCTTCATTATTATCCTTTAACATTTCCATAATTCTAGAGCAATCCTTGTTATATGTTGGGCCTGACATTTTTTTCCCTCTTCTAGCTTGGGCTAAGCCCATGTTAGTGGATTCTTGATACTCTAGTCTTGCTTCTTGTGAACTGGGCTCCTTAAATGAATTCCTTTTGGATTTGTGTTTGGAGCCCATTTGAATCCCATCTATTGTGCTGGCCTGCAATATCGGTTCGATGACATCCTTCTCCTGTTCCAAACATTTGTCCGTTGCTCTGTTTTTGTCACCATTCAAATTTTGAATTTGAATTTGAGACAAGCTGCTAGCTGTTGCTTCCCCTAGCTTCTCCTCCTCCTTTGTAGGCTGTTCTTGATCTATTCCTACCCACGCCACATCATCATCTTCTTCATGAGCATATTTTTCATGGCACTGAACATCATCTTCTGCATTATCACACTCTTGCGTCTCCATTAGGCTGCCTATCGACCATGACTCATATTCCTTGTCATCACTTTGGAAAGAGGGCAAGAAATCTTGTTTTAGGGAGAAGAAGCAATTAGTGACTTCCTCCTCTGAAAATTTTAAATTGTACAGACTCCCATTGATTTTAACTTGCCGTGAGACTCTAATTGTGTCCATGATCTGCGTGGATATCAAGAAGCTTGCTACATCAAACCTTCTTCTTTTGCTAGTGCTATCATCTAAGCAGATGAATTTTCCCCATGAACATCCCATTTTTTCGAAAAATTCAGTACCCCAAGCATTCAATGGTACCCCTTGGCATCTGATCCATACGAACCTCTCGTTGGCCACCATTTTGGGTGTCCAAGGTCGCACCACTTCAAACCACTGTCCTAACCAATCCGAAGCTAATTCCACCAATTCCTTCAATTCTTCCTTGTCCTCACAATCTAACAGCACCAGTCTACCACCCATGGCTCGAATGCGGCATGAAAAATAACCTTCCATATAGAATTTCTCCTGTAAGTTACGGACCATCTCCACAGAGTGTACCAATCCCATAAAGTATCCCTCCAACCATGCATAATCTTCCGATTTGGCATTATATTGTAAGCCCGCCCAGCTTTCTCCCATTCCTTTTTCTTGCCAAACTGTCCTATTTTCTACACTTCACTGATTGGAATAGTTTCTGCTTGTGTTCCTCCCCGGTCTCTTTTCTTCTTGTTTTCTGAAACATGTTCTTCCTTCCTCCATTTGTTTCTTCTCTGTTTGGCCCTTCACCACCTCAGCATAACTTCTCTATTGGGTTATTGGTTCTGCAATTTGACGGTACCTACTCCCCGTTTTTTCAATCTTCCCTTCTTCATATCTTGGGAGATTCACCCATAATTTCCTGCCTCTTATCCATATCTGATCCAGATTCTTTTCCAACTCCCTCATGTTCTTGACATCCAAGAATCTCACAAACCCAAACTTGGTTCCATTCCTGCTTTTCCTGTTAGGACTATAAATGGCGTATACTCTGCCAAATTTCAAGAACGTTTGCCACATCTCCGCATAGCTCCAGTCCTCTGGAAAATTGGTGAAGAAGTAAGGTGTGGCTTGTTTATACAACCCCCAATCATACGAGCCACCTTTTTGTTTACTTCGATTCTGGAACTAATCATCCTTCATCTGCCTCTGACCCATTTGCCTCTGTCCCACTTGTTGAAACCTACACTGCTGGCTTCTTCCGCGAGATCCTGCATGCTCACAACCCACTGTTGTCCGTCCTGTTCGTGGCTTGTGTCCATCTTGTTCGTGGCCTGTGTCCATCTCTTCCCCCTCTCACTCTCTCTCTACCTCTCTCTCTCATCTCCATCGATCCCAACTAAAATTACCACTAGTTATGCTACACCATT